TGGACCCCTTTAATCTCTCTTTAGCTCAGTAGATCATATTCAGTCATTGTAAATTGGCAGCAGATTGAAATTGTGCCTGTGTTCCTCAAGATCTCCTGTTCCAATTTTTTTTATGTGATGAGGTTCATCAAAAATAGATTAGTATACTATTGTTTTTTCATGACAGATAAGAATATGTACCTTTGCTGAATGAAAGTCCAGATTAAAATAGGACTTCGATAACTATAGAGGAACAATTTGCATCAATTTGCATCTGTTGAGATTGGGACAGCAGAAGAGACATGTTCGAGAACAGCACTCTTAGTGCACCACAAAATGAAATTCAGCATTAAGTTCACAATGCATTAGAGGGTAGGAGACGGATTTTAAACTCTTAAGACTCTTTCTGAGGAAGTTTGAATTAACAAGCAAAGCTGGTCTTAGTGCAGGGATTCTCAACCTTTTAGGTCTGTGACCCATTTTTAAGTTCCAAAATTCTTTAAAAAAAAAAACCCACATTAGAAAACTTGACAATCTCACAGGCTTAATTCCTGGCAAAAAAAGAGGGTCTATGATACCTGAAGAGAGCATCCACTGGCATCCCCATTCATGTCTATGTCAACTTCTATTCTATTCTATTCTATTCTAGTTAAACCAAAATAACATAACAAATTTCATCAGTTTTTTTGCAGGGTAATTTAATATTAGTGATTATATTCGTTCCTTGAAAGAAAGGAAATTTCATGTGCATGGTTATGTTAATCCTCAATGGCGAAATATGCTTTTTGCCTGAATATTGTGTAGTTACAGCATACATAACGAGTCAACAGAAATGTCTCCGATAGGATGTCAGTCAGTATGTGATGATGGTAAAATGTGTCTGGCGGCGATCATGCCAATATGAAGGTGATCAAGAGCTCAGTGGTCTTGAATGGCTTCTGAAAAGATTTTGACAGAGAAATCAATGTAATGCACATCAGCGAGCACTGAGCGCTGGTGAAGGTCCCTGTCAAAGGGACTCAAGTGTGAAAAGTCATTTGTTCAGCCAGCCACACACACACACACACTCTCTAAACTCACTGCGGGCTCCAAAAATAAGTGATTCTGCATGACAGCACAGTGAATAGCCATCCGGGCTTTTTAAGTTATCAATAAACACTGCAAAGCAATGCATGCTTTCCCAGGATTTTTGCAGTGATTTCAGACGTACACACTGATCCAGGCTCTAGAAGTGTGGGTTAGTGATCTATTCTCCATCACAACAGCACACCATGTGTACGTTCTTAGAAGTCACATTTGCTCATAATAAGCCAATGCGGTTTGACACTTACGCCTCCGGTTGTCAGGTTTATCATCCTCAGCCTGTCAGTGCTGCATAATGCCCATCATTCTGCACTTGCCGGCCTGCCTCTGCCGGGGACTGCGAGGGACAGCTTGCATCGCTTCAAACCTCATCCAACACTGAACTGTGCCCCCTAATAAAGCCTAAATTGCCCACCATGGAGCAGGAGAGTGACTCCAGACATTCATTAGCTTAATGAAAACAGGCCACTCCACTGCAGCCGCCCAGTGAGCATCTTCACACTGTAGCTGAGGCAACCATCTGCTCCGAGGCACCCAGCCAGCTGCAGAGTATTCCTGTCATACACACCCCACTGGAGGCGATGCAAACAGCACACCTCCACTCCGAGAGAGTCGGTCAGCACGCTTTGGCGCAGTGCTGCGGTGTTGCTAAATATACTGCCCTACCCACACCTCACCCTTTCACCTGAAACTGTTTGCATTTGCTTTGTGGCTCCAGCCAAATTCAGTGACAGTTCTTCTGCGTTCCACCAGCTAGAGTTCCCTACAGCTGCTTCTACAGCCTGGCTGGGAAGAGCATGTGTTGAGTTTCCAGCCATGTGCTAGGCAGGGTATGTCAACATGTGTTATACCCAACTGTTTCATTCTGGCCGCCACAAAGCAGCTAACCTTTGCAAATATTTGAAGGGCAAATTCACTTCCCTTAGTAATGTCTGACTTACTGGTCTGGAAACTAACAGCAACTAGTAAAAAGCCATTTCTCCAAAATGATGCAACTGTGCATGTGTTCCACACATAATGCTTCATCTATGTTATAGGTATGGATTGTCACAATTGTTGACTAGTCATACACAACCTGTATTTATTTATTTACACATTTTGCACTATAAAATTCGGTAAACTCTTGCAGTGAAGTTGCATCTTTAAATTCATCCCCACTACAACAGCAATGCACACAAAGACATTTTGCCCATTTCTGGACTTTTTTATCCTGTTTCTTAATGTCTTATCCCATTTAGCGTGTGTTTTGTAAAATGGTGTGTCAAGTTAAAATATAGTGAAAAATAGTGAGAGTGTATATTTTCTCTCTCTCTCTCTCTCTCTCTCTCTCTCTCTCTCTCTCTCTCTCTCTCTCTCTCTCTCTCTCTCTCTCTCTCTCTCTCTCGCTCTCTCTCGCTCTCTCTATGAATATCTTGGATATATATTTAAATCATGACAATAGTCTTAGCATGTTAATGAATATTAAAGTCCCCATGAATTCAAAATTGACCATACTTACTTTGTTTGCCTAAATTGATCGTTTTGTGGTGAACAATTCATCCATGTAAGTCAATCCACACAAAAAATTTTTTTGGCTTCGTAATCTCTAATCAAAACCTGAAAATTCCCCTCCCCTCTGCATTGGAGGACCTTCCCTGATGACGTAGGTTTAACGTTTTGGGTGTCTGCTTAACATCCGTAACCACGCCCCTCCAACTGACAGTAGACAGGCTGAATGAAAACACCTACTTTTCTAGATCCAATCAGGTGCTAGTTGGGAAAAAAAGCCACACCCACTATTTTGCCTCATTTAGTATTCCGTTTCTCTCGGAAATACGTCACAACACTGGAGAAAAGTCGTTTGCAACTTCCGGTTCATGGGGACTTTAACATGCTAAGCAGTGTTAATGTATTTGGTCTGTTGTCATCATGCTGCTGCAGAGCAATGGACTTGCTACTGGCAAAAGATACACTGACACACTGCTGTGAGCAGTGTTGGGAAAGTTCATTTTCTACATGAACTAGTTCAAAGTTCAGTTCGCAAATTTTAAAATGAACTAGTTCAGTTCATAGTCCATACTTCAAAAAAAAAAAATTCCATATGTTGCTGCGAGCTTTTTTTTAATTATTATTATTGCCACAGCCCATATACAACCACAGACAGCAATTATTTTATCGACGGGCAAAGTTTGCACAGAAATGTCAGATTTTTCCCATCCTCACCGACCTTGTCATAAAACTCGTTTAAATGATCATACGACGCCTCCTCGCTCGCTGCTTTGTCATCTACATGCTGCTTTTTGTCTTGATGACGCATGCGGCGGCCACGGTGCGACACTGGTGGCTGGTGTTGCCAGATTGGGTGTTTTTTTCGCTACATATTAAGGGCTCTTTACGTGCGTTTTAGCCGGGTTTTCGCCTGGAAGGCTCTATAGAAATCTGGCACCCTATTGAACGAAGTTAAACTGAGAGAGCGTGCGTTCACAGACACCACAATAAACGAGTTCACTGTAACGTTCATCAGGCAGTAATTCAGTACGTTCAGTTCACGTTCGCCCAAAATATGAACGAGTTCATGAACTATCGTTCATTGAACGCGTTCAGGCACAACACTGGCTGTGAGTATGTAAGTAATGCTGTTGCTGCATGAATATGCATACATAAATCCCACAGCAGATCTAGACAGGTGGAGCTGGGGATGGTGGAGGGTTTCAGGGGAACTCTGATAGCTCGCTGCAGGGCTACCTTACAGCAACCTGAACCAGACTATTTAAATGTTGAGCAAGCAATCTCATTGGCTGCAGGATCAGCAGAGGCCAATCAGTTTGTGCCATGTGGTAATGATGTGATTGCTTGCAGTACCTGTCAGCCTGCGCCATATAGAGTTTTATGACTGAACTAGATACATGTGTGTGTATATATATATATATAACTGATATAGGGATCAGAATCTGATGACCAGAAACAACAATCTGTTTAGATGCATTTTCAACATCCAAAAGATCACTATCTTATTCTGTTTTATTGTCCTTAGTAAAGACAGTGAAAAATGCCTTTTTAAAAGGTTTCTCAAAAACATATTAAATCTAAAGTGAATTTAGAGGTGCTGCTGGCTAAGGGGATTGTGGCAATACATCAGAAAAAGTGATGAACACTGAACATGAGCAGACGGTGATGAAGTGACACTGTTATAAAGGGAATTTGATGCATCATGTTATACAAGGGCACTTTTTCTTACAATGGCAGCATTTATTGACTACTTAAGATTTGTTATCATGGGTATTAGACAATCCTCAGCAGCCCAAATCTGATTGCAATGTGTAAGACTCTGTAAATCCTTGAAGATACAGTTATGATGCACAGATGCGAGTAAAATAACAGAGAAAGGGTGAAAAAAAAATTGTGATGACCAAGTGTTCTCAATGACCGCTGATCTGCTGTGCAACCGAAATGTTAGTTGCTGCCCCAAGGCAGTTGCTGGATAGCTCATCATCTGGGTAGTATTACTTGAATCCCCATTGGAAATGAACTCATTACATTATGCCTCATTCAAGCATGGACTCCTGGATAGTTTTGAAGATCCCTTTTGGCATTTGGTACATGTTATAATATCTCTGAAATCAGTGGAGCCCAACCACTGACCCCAAACATCGATTAGACACATGAGTGGCTACAGTGCCCTACAGAAACAGGTGTAGACTCTCACATCTTTTTTAATCGTTTCTGACAAACTTCTTTTTAAAAAAAAAGTTAAAACGGCGGAAAAATACGCTTGATCGACGACTGCCACAGATTTAATTTTAAACCAAAAAAAGAATTTTTCATTCTCTCACTGTAACTGGTTTTGTGCATGATGAGAAAAAGCGAATGTTTTTTTTTTATTATTGACTGTGAGGTAACTGAGGCAGAAGCAGGCAGTGTGAGAGACCAACCTATTGCCTTTTCTCTCCTTATTACAGTTTAATTTTGTTGGGAAACTGCTGGGGCCCAGGGGCAATTCCATGAAAAGATTACAAGAGGAAACGGGAGCAAAGATGTCCATCCTCGGCAAGGGTTCAATGAGGGATAAAGGCAAGGTAAGATGACTGGCAACAACTCTCTTTTTTCAGCATGTGTACTGTATAAATTTAATGTTTCATTACTGTTTTGAGAATTGTTATTATTGACATTGATTTGTTTGTAAAAATAAATGCCATAACTAAACCAGCATATTTTCAGATATTAAGGGCCAGATTTACTAACAGCTTGTGCCAGCACAAACCTTCTTTTGGCTTTAAAAACTAGTGTCAGGATTTACTAAAGACACGCAGTGAAACATTAGCGGTGAAAAGGCGTGGACAGTTGTTTTTGCAGCTGACCTTATTGCATATGCATTTGTAAGAGTTTCCATTTAGACACAAAATTTATGGGAGGAGCGTATTTAAATGGATGACCCAAGGTGATTTCCTAAGGTTTGCTGGTCAATTTACTGGTATTTGCGCCATTTATTTACTGACCAAAAAAGCATGTTGTGGCGAGCAGGACGAGGCCGAGTGACGTGAGAGAGCGGCGCGAGGCCGGTGGCGTGAGTGATAATGAACGACACCTGTGAGACGCACCGGTCTCGCATCTCTCACGTCACTCGGCCTCGTCCTGCTCGCCACACATGTCTTAAACCAAACGCTACTTTGTGCTGCTCTTGATAGATTGCATTGGTCATTATGGAAATGATCCGGCTATGTCTGTGTTCTTTAATTTGTGCGTCGTCAGTAGATCTTGCGCAGAACTTTCCATTCCCATCGGCGCTTTTATGGGATTGCGCTCTCATGCTAATTTGCCCTGTTTAGTAATCTGGCCCTAAATATCTAAACTAACTACTTATGGCAAAAGCAAATTACCTGAATTTGATAAGAGCTGCGTTAAACCATTTGTTGTTTTTTGTCTATGAGAAACTAAAATAGCTTCTAGGAAGCCTATTTCCACCACATAAGAAAAAATAAATCTTACTTGGTAAATCATAATTCATAATTATAAGATTTAAAAATAATTAAAGTCATAATTGTGATTTTTTTTTTAATCTCATGATGACTTTTTTTATCTCATAATTATGTCTAAGAATAATTATTACCTAGTTTGTCATAATTTATTACATTTTATGTCATAACGATGATTTAATAAAGCATATTTTTTTCCTCATGTGGAGGAAATGGGCTTCTAGAAGCTTGTACATGCCATGCACACTGCATTTATTCCAGAGCAGAGTGCTTTATCCCTTAAATCCTGTAAACCTTTCATTTCTGTGAGTGTAACAAGCATCAGAGCTGACAGAGCAAAGTGTGAGAGGACGCTGAGACTGAAGATCATTACCTGCACATATGCCCCTAGATAGAGGAGGAACTGCTGTTTTAGCATTTACTGACGTTGTACACATTCTTGAAAAGAGAAGTATACATCACAAATAATAGCGCACTGACCTGTGTAAAGTACAGCACATGGACTACCACAATAACTGAATGATATTTGCATAAAAGAGCAGTTTACTCATTTCATTGTCAATGTTTTTCGCCCATGAGTGTGGGTAAATGATTAAACATTGACTCACAAATTGTGTAATTTGGCCGAAAATAAAGCCTGTTCTCTCTCATTCAGCTCAAAAGCTGTCATGAAATGGTTTGAATAGCACAGTTTTCTTTCTTGTGTTGACATATTTCCTATTGAAACAGAAAGTTGGGGACATATAGAAGGGCTTTAGTTCGGACATTGCAGTAAGGTGTCTGATAGGCTGATGAAAATATAATGAGGATATATGCCTGTTAGTGGAACATGTAGATTTTTTTTTGATGATTTTCCTGTGCATTTTACTACATTACTCAAATACTCATGGATTAAAATCAATTTTGATTTCATAGGGTCTTTGAGTGTTAATATAACAACTCCTCAGACTTGACAATAATCATAACACCCTAACAGACTTATGTTTTGTGTTTTGGAAAAAAATGATCAGTCTTTGTTTGGAGGATCAACTAAATCCCTGTTATAAAAGAGCTATTGAGGCTATTCACTATATGGATCTTTCTCAGAACTATTTTATACGTGCTTTGGATTGAGCGGTGGTGAGTGAAATGTTCAGCCAAACAGCTGCCCTAAGAGACATGCTGGTCATTTACCTAGCCAGAGAATCGTTCCAAATTTAATATTTCTCGGTTTGCTGCTCCTATCATCTCATAATAGGCCATCCTGAATTCCCCAGTTCAATAAATTTTTCATTTTAATTTAATTTTTATTGAATGTTAACTCCATTGAATTAAAAACATTCATATCAAGCAAATATTAGTTTTCTTTCATAGTGTATAAAATAGAATGATTCAATAAGCAAAGCAAGGATGTGTGCTACATCGATTTTTCCTGCTGTTAAGGGGTGTAGTTAGGCACAACTGAAGCATGGAGACGTGGCATATTATTATAGCATTCGGTTGATGTGTGCATGTTGAATGTTGTTCAACCAAGAACAAAACTTTTTTTAACGACGCAAAGATAAGAATTAAACTGAAGTATTGTTTTCTGAAGATTTCTACAGTCACCAGTAAATTTCTGTTTGTGCGATCAGCAATGCATTTACAGTTACCTGAGATGAATTATTTACACAAAATCTGAATCTGAAAAGTGTTCAGAACTTGTTAGAGGAATGAAATGTAGTATACAATGCAAAACCCTGTGTCTTGTTCACATACCACCTGCAATCTATTTTAACCAGGTGCTACAAGTATGCTTTAGCGCTGTGATTCTTTTCAGCTCAAAAAAACTTTTCGGTAACGCTTTAGATTACACCCCGGAAAGTACTGTGTAATTAAGAGGAATTTACAGAGTAACTTTCGGTAATTATAGTGTACCTATAAAGTACTTGCATGTAAGGGAACAATATGTAAAGTTTGGGGAATAAAGGGGTAACAACCAGGAGAATTAAAAAAATATTTATACTGTAAGTATTATAGAACTAAGGGGAACTTATTCTACTATTATGATACAACAATCTTACATTTGTGAGCAATTTAGCGAGAACACTGCGTACCTTTTTGTAATAATTGTGTACCAATACAAACTGTATAGGCTTTTTTTTAATTACACAGGGTACTATGCATTTATACTTTTATTTATTTATTTTTTGATAGCAAAAGTGCAGATGTTTAAGTTGGGCTATCATGTTTCAAGGCAAGAAAAGCTAAGACTATTGCAATTTTTTTAAATACTGGGAAATATATCTTGTTTGATGTGGTTACAGGGTAAGTGGTGCTTGTATAATAAATAAAGTTTCCGAGTCAGTGATATAAGATTGTGTGTATGCATTTTTATTGTTACCCTGTAACTACATGGAACAAGAGGGTAACAAGCACCACTTTAATTTACGGCCCGCAATGTCACACTTAGCCTGTAACTACATCGAACAAGGGGGTAACAAGCTACATGAAACAAGAGTATCTTTCCACAATATTTAAGCAAAAGTTGCAATAGTTTTCGTTTTCACTGCACTTTTGTTAAAAAGATTACATTTTAAAAATTACAGGGTACATATCTATGCATTTATAAAGCCTATACAGTATGTACTGGTTCATAAGGTACGCAGTGTATGTTCTTGCTAAATTGATCCCAAATATAAGATTGTTATATCATAATAGTAGAATATAATACTTCGAGTATAAATATTTTTTTAATTCTCCTGGTTGTTACCCCTTTATTCCCCAAACTTAAAATATTGTTCCCTTATACTTATATTGTAAGTACATTATAGGTACACTATAATTACCGAAGGTTACGCTGTAAAATTGCTTTAATTACGCAGTACTTTCCGGGCTGTAATCTAAAGGGTTACCAACTTTTCTAGTTAAATTAAGCTCTATAAAATGTGCCAATTTGATTTTTTTAAAATCAGACTTTTTTATTTTATTTTTATTTCCTCATTTGCATGCACACATATGTGTGTCTGTGTATTTGTGGCCTTGCGTCCATTTCTACATTTGCATCGTTGCAAACTGCAATCACGTTGTGCATGCAGCCCCAAGTTTACCATTATCTGATTTACATAATTCCTTAAGTGAATTGTGTGCTCAAGCAATACAGATAGCATGCAAATAAAAGATTCTTTTATGGCCGTAATCCTTTCTTAATGAATTACCTCTCAGACTTTAAACATACATTATGCATATTGTTTAAAATCTGTCCTCATTGCAATAACTTCATAGAAACAAACAAGACCAATGTCTTATGGTCTTATTGACAAATGTCTTGTATCGTTAAATGCTAAAAAGGTGTCCAAAGAAACAAATGAGACAGGCATATGCATTGTTTTTTTTCCAAATAGCTGTGTGGGGTTTCTACAAGCAGACAGAGTGTTCTTTTTTAAGCTTTATAAACACTTTTCACTGGAATTTCACACTCTTAACAATGCAGATGAACCGTGGTCTGAAATCTATTTAAATTTATGGCAGAACTCAAACAAGAGCCTGTTGGATTGTTTTAAATCCCAAAGGCAATCATTAATGCAAACATATTCCATTATAAAGAGTCACCTTGAGCTAGTACAGGTTTGTTATACATATGAAATTAAGAGTCTGCCTTGCATCTTTATGGCCATAGATTTGTCTGTGCAGTATCTGAGAGTCCTACTGAGGTCTTCGTATAAAAGGCTCTCCTCATCCAGGGTTTAACAAAGCAAGAAATATTGCATTTGGAATGAGTCCCTGGGAAGGTAAATGAACAGCATGTGTCTGAGTGCAGCAAATTGGCAGGAATTTGGCCATTACATTCACCACCATGCAAAAAGACATCTGTGTATCACAAATCTTAATCTGGGGATAGACACAAATGTTATAGCAGAAACATTCTCATATCCTTAATTTTTATGTAAGAAAAAGAAAAGCCAGTGTTTATTATGGCCAACATGGCTTTTCCATGCCTTTTAGGAGTAGATTTTATTTAGCTCTATAAGATTTTGTTTGAATGTTTCAAAACTGAGCTCTTTAACTCCGTAGGAGTACTGGATAACTGTCAAGCTTATAAGTGTCAGATTCACTATTTGTACTTTACTGGGAATAAATATGAGGAACCCTTCATTTTGTCATATTTGAAGAGGATTCTGCTATGCTTAGACATGCTTACTTGAGTGCCTTTTGAAATGCATCCTGGGAGTCAGGCCTACCTTTTGAAACAACAGAACATTTTCTTCGTGGATTGACATGAAAGGAAAGTTAAAGCTTTCAGACTTGAAACCGAACAAATGTCATCTGACGAGCAGTTTTCAAGCACTGGAAATGAGGCGGCAGCCTTTTCACCGTCTCCTGCCTCCACTTCTGTCTGTCTGTCCATTTTTAAGTCAATCTGGAGACACACACACACAGTGCCAACGCCTACACACATATATTTGTGTCTACTCACAAAATTACCGTCTGAACCATCTCATCTGCACAATTCGTCAGCTGCCGTATACCGGAGCCCAATGTTGTGAAAGCTTAAGTGTCTCCTGACCTTTTGTCCATGGAAAGCATGATGGAAAAAGTGCTTGGGTCACTTTGACATGATACAGAGATGGCATCGGTAAGTGTTTATTAAAGCTGAAGGGGCTGCAAGGGCCCGTATCAGTGATCAGGCTTCTATGTCATCAAAGCCCTTCTGTCTTTAAGAAGCCACAGCCGAGCGGTAATCAACATAAAACAGAAACGCTGTCTGCCGTAATTACAAGCTTTCTGAAGTTTCAAGTTTTATGAAGAGCCACAGAACACCTTCAGCAATCAGAGAGAATTGAAAAACCGAATACCTCTATGAAATATCACCCTTTTTTGCTTTTCCAATGGCAGGATTTAATCAGAAAGGTGACAGTGTCAATTTATTTCTGACAAAAAGCCCTCGGGCAGATTTAAGCATAATGATTTGAATCTACGTACCCATTAGGCCTATCTCTGTTACAGAGTAAAGGTGTCGATAGGTTCCATTGTTCACAAAAAAAAAAAAGACTTTGTGACATTTTGTTGAAATACATTACAAGACTATCATCATCATCTTAAAAAGAGCTTCTTTCATAAGGGGATAGTTTACCTAAAAATTTCCATTCTGTCATTTTCATGTTGTTCCAAACCTATATGATTTCATTTCTATAGTGGAACAAAAAGATATTTTGAATTTTTTTATTATTTTTTTGTGTGTGTGCACACAATGAAAACCAATGTGGTCCAGTGTTGCTACAATAAGTCAGTCAGTCAGTCAATAATTGTTCCACAAATGGCATACAGGTTTGAAAAGAGATAAAGGTATAAGTATGACAGAATTTTCATTTTTGGGTGAACTATCCCTTTAATGCCTTTCCAGTTCACTCTCAGTTCAAAATATGCATAATACGGTTTGGAGGAAGAAAAGCTCTCTTTATCTAATTCATTAATGATATGATTAATTCTTCACACAGAATTCCTGACTTGATGTTTTTCCATCCCTAGGAGGAAGAGCTGAGAAAAAGTGGAGAGGCGAAATACGGCCATTTGAGCAACGATCTTCATGTTTTAATTGAAGTTTTCGCACCACCTGGAGAAGCCTATTCCCGCATGAGCCATGCCCTGGAGGAGATTAAGAAATTCCTTGTTCCAGTAAGTTTATATACTTGAATTCCTTGAAAGAGATGGTGAGCTGGAAGCCAGGATGAGATGAGTACACTAACCAAAGCTGAACTCTAGTGCTCTCCTGCATGCATAAATTTGCCTATGTTTAATGCAAGGGGAAAAAGAGATTATAGAGTTATGCATATGATTATATATGAAATAATTGTATGTTTAATATGTTGGAATTGGCTGAAAATGCTGCTAGTTTCTGATGATATCTTTTCAAAATTAACTTCAGCCTAGATTATGATTTTTTTTTTAATGTATATATTACCACTGTTTTAAAGTTTTTGGGTCAGTATGATTTTTTCTTTTTTTTATATAATTAATACTTTTATTCTTCAAGGAAGCATTCAATTTTTCAAAAAGGACAGTCAAGACATTTACTGAAGATTTTTCCAAAAGATTTCTATTTCAAATAAATGCAGTTCTTTTGTACTTTCTGCTTATCCAAAAATTGTATCACGGTTTCCACAAAAATATTAAGCAGCACAACCGTTTTCCACTGTGATAATAATAAGAAATGTTTCTTGAGCACCAAATCAGAATATTAGAATGATTTCTGAAGGATCAAGCGAGTTGCTGAAAATTCAGCTTTGCCATCACAGGAAACATATATTAAAATAGAAAATTATTTTAAATTGTAATAATATTTCACAATATTATTGTTTTTACTGTATTTTTGATCAAATAAATGCAATCCTGGGGAGCTTGAGACTTCTTTCTAAAACAATAAAAAATCTTACCGACCCCAAACCTTTGAACAGTATACTCACTAGCTTATTTGTTAGTAATATTAATGATTAGTCATATTCATTAGTGCATTTCATTTTCATGGGGGGGCACACTTTTTATGATCTACAAAACAGGCAGTCACAAAAACAATAACATCCCCTATTTAGTCTAATATAACTGAAATAGACCAAATTCTATATTTAAACAACACCAAAACACAAAATATTAAGTTTCTGATCATAGGCGGAGGGTGAACCAACACCATGAAAATAATGCCTTATTTGCATAGCCTAACTGCTTATTATAACGAGAGGATTTGCGCGCGCGTAGATCTAATCCACTCACCGCTCAAAACACCGGAGTTTAGCCAATATTCTTTTATTACGGAGAAAACTGATCCTAGACCAGCATTTATGGACAGCTTTTCCCTCTAAAAGCAATCAGAAGTAAATGGAAGCTTGTTTTCGCCACGGAATAAACATTTTTTAAAGATAATTGCGACTTTTTATCTCACAATTCTCACATGGATTTCTCTCAATTCAGAGTTTTTCTCACAATTCTGACTTTATAACACGCAAATGTGACTGTATATCACTCAACTCTGACTTTATAACTTGCCATTTTGATTTTATATCACGCAATTCTGAGAAAAATTACCTTTTTTTTTACGTGGAAACAGTAGGCTGTTTTTAGCAGGCAAATGAATCAGAAAATTCAACAAGCCCGCTTGGCCAGGGGAAGGTAAGCCTTGCGCAGAGTTACACGCTCCGACTAATTTTCATATTTCTGAAGACAATGTGTTATTTAAAGTTACAGAGATTAGTGCACCTGTGTGCTAAATGCTGCTGACGACATTTCGTTATGGAATACGTGGATACGTTTTTTTGCTCTCAATAGTAAGTTTGCTCAATGACCATATGATTAGGGGGCACGTTGTGTCATCTGGGGGGGCACGGCCCCCTAATGCCCCCCCTTGGCGACGGGCCTGATTGTGCCGCTTTACATCTTAAGTGAGAGAGAGAAGCAACGCGCATAGAACGGAGAGGGCTTAAATTAGGCTCTAGATAAAAATATCAGAGGATGTAGCGCTGAAAGATCATGACCGTAAACGACCCTGAGCACTTGTGGTGTCAACCGCTCCGTTGTTTTGACACGCTGCTCAATTTAAACTGTAGAAATGCTAAAATGACGCAGTTATGTCCCACTGTCCGGATGGATCCAAGCCGGGGTCCTTTTCGCCAAGTGAATACCACTCCTATAAAGTCTAAACTATAAATATTAATGAAGCAGTATGAAGTGTTTGCCTCAGGAAGGAAGTGCTCAAGGAGAGATTCCCTATATTCGCCTCTTGGGCCACATCTTTGTATCATCCGCACTGATCTGGTTACTTCCTCCATATGTATTTCTGTCAGTGGTGAACCATGTTTTATCTTTATGGCCACTGTGGAATACCAATTAGATAAGTTTTCAATCTCAATAGCTCTGTTCCAAAACATAGTGAGCTAACTCTGTACAGTCTGTAGGCACGCTTCTGACATAATTATGATGCCTCCTTTTTTCAGCCAAATTCTAAGGAACTGCGTGTATCCATTTCAGTTAGCATACTGCAATAAAAGCAGCTGCGTATGTAGGCAGCTCATTAGGGTTTGAAGCTAATGTCTTGATGTCTTTCCTTCTTTGAATGTGTTTATACATTTATCTTTGTCAGAAAGCTTGATTCCTGTCAGGATTAAAGGACTGTGCTGGCATCTCAAGATGGTGCACTTTGAAGTGGTAATAGTATCCAGGCAGCCATGTGAATTAAAATATTTCTTGATATTTTACAGCATTTGTTTTATAGAGACATGGCATTACAAATTCACTATGGCCCATTTGTAATTAAGAATTTTGCTATGCCCCTTAATTCCACTGAAAACAAACCTTAATGCTATGGCACACATGACATTCTAGTGAATTGTGTGCTTCTGACTTTGTTGCAATAGTTTCAGGAAGCCCTTTTCTGTTACAGCATCACAATGCCCTTGTGCACAAAGCACAGTCTATTAAGAAATGTTTTTCTGAGTGTAGTGGGGAAGAATTTAACTGACCTGCACCAAGCTCAGACCTGAACACCTAGCCACTGTGACTGGGATGAATTGGAACACAGACTGTGAGAGCCAGAACACCTCACTCAACATTATTACCTGTCATTGGTGATGCACTTGTGTCTGGATTGGAGAAAATCCCAGCATCCATGTTTTAACATCTGCTGGAAAACCTTCCCAGAATAGTGGAAGCTTTTAGCAAGGGGAGACTCAACTCCCCAATAATGCCCATGGTTATGAAATTAAATGCTCAACACTACAGATTTTTAAATGGATCCTATTATGCTTTTCCACTTTTTCAACTTTAGTTAGTGTCTAATGTTGCTGTTTGAGCATGAAAAAGATCTGCAAGGTTACAAAGCTCAAAGTCTACTCCAAAGGGAGATATTATTATATTAACAGAATCCCCTTTTTAAGAACTAGCTACAAAGCGATTTTCCCGGATCTTATGAAGTCACAATTGTACTAATTTAAATAATCCCCGCCCACGGAATACACAAAAAAGGGGACGAGGCCTGGTTGAGCTGCATTAGAGAAGACATTGTTCAAAGAGACACTGTTTTTTCCAAAACTAATTTTTTTGACCTTCCTAAGGCTGACGAACTTAGATTGGTTAACTTATTTCCTGAACATTATAACCCCAAACGTTTATTTTATGGAGAACAACTTGTTTTTTGTTGCTTTTGTAAGCTCTCAATTTTGTAAGACGGTGGCCACTCCTTAGGACAATTAACCATAGTTTTGTGATCGATTACTGTTTGTATTACCTTAGTTTTCCTACAAATATCACGATTAAATGGTGAATAACATCGTATCTATAATGTATAACAAAATGACAAAAAACATACCACTTTGAAACGTCCTGTGAAATCCTTACTTGCAAAGTCTTTGCATGAAATCCGTTCTGCATGATCCTCTTGTTCGTTAACATTGTCAGGGTCTGAATCGGCTCGAATTGGTTTGAAATTGACGCCATCCTCAATATCGACACTAGAGAAGAACTTGCAGTTATGGAGGGCGAAACATTTCTCGAACATGCTTAATTTGTTTGTAAATCTATATCATTCTCATACAATAAAGCCGCACACAGATTACCTGTAGCTCTGGATTAAATTGCACTATGAATTGTGAAGTTCCATTTAATCAATTTTATAATTCCAGTTAAGCAATGGTTAACATAGTATAAATATGTTTTTAAAAACCAAACAAACAAAATGCCTTTGCAGCCTGGACTACTGATAGGCCCAAACCTTTGTTGATAAGGCCTACAGAAAGCCCATTATGTGAATAGGATTACGCAACCTCACACATTGCCTCAGAAAAGGAGTGAATCATGCAAAACGCAGCATCTTTAGTAGGTGTGAGTGGGTTCTCCTCAGCGGCAGCACTGTACGTCTATTGACTGTAGTCTCATTAAGAAGGAAACTGGGTAACTGATTTTGTAGGATTTTGTAATTTACCATTAATACATGAGAGGATGTAGACACTCGTACAGAGACTTAGAAGCAAAAACAAGTTAATTCTATTTTTTTTTATATAGCTTGACCGGCTGACTATGCAATTTGACCTGGTGTTTCTAAGACTCACTGTTTATATCCTGAATCAATGCATTACCACTGTTATTAAATCTGATTCAGAACATAATTAGCTTCACCACGAGACACTCTACATAAGGAATCCATCAGAATGCTCATTACATCTGATCAGTATAAAATACATTTCTGTCAGTCCGTGTGTTGCAAGGAATGCAGTCAGACTGTTTAGGTGCTATGACATGGACTGCCCTGGCAACAGCTAATGCTGATCCAAGCACAAAATCCACCTCACTTACCCACACCTCCCACCTTTCAACCTGGTATAGAAACTATCAACATTCCTAACACTGGGTCTTGGATTTCTTCGGTGATTGTCTCTGTAGCTACTAAGAGTCTTCAGAGGACTGTGGACGGATCACCCCCTTAAAAAATCATTCTCATTTGTCCTGTTTTACCAATTAGCACTGTGGCTGCTTGGTCAACAGTAGTGGATAGATATTTGTGTAGAGTTTTAGTAAATGCATTGTAGCAAATTAGCTCTATGAAATATTAATAATCAATCATAACATATGATTATATGGTTATAATTGATTATGAATATTAATTGTAATTGTTAATTAATTGGGTTAACTTGATGTAGCTACATTAACATTACAACCAATTACTCGGTTCATCCCATGGACACTCAATATTGGTTATTAATTGATTAATACAAATGTACATTTCCTGGGCATGGGAAATGTCTTTCTTACTGTACAGTACTATTCAGAGCCTGTATCCAGAAATCTATGATTAGTGACTCCAGATATGAGCTTGAGACACGGACAACTTTATGTGTGATATGAACAAGACTTTATTAACTAGACTAAACATTTAAACTACTCTAACATACACATGCATACAGTTTACCTAGGGGAAGAGAGCTGAAGCAGAATACAGGAAAGCAAGAAGTTAAAAAGGGGTAAGGTCACTTAATGTATCAAATAATGAGACTCAGTTCGACACTTGCATGTCTCGCCCATTTGTATTAAACTGTCCTGATGCAATTTGTTGAGGCTCCAGTTGATCTTTGCTGATGTGGTCTTGATGAGAGAGAACCAGTGAGAGTCAGAGGATCTTTGGTGAATGGAAAGACAAGGCCGCAGCCTGGCGCAAGCTTGGGGGTCCTTGGGGGACTTCTAGTTCAGCATCATCTTCACATCAGGACTTCTCAGGAAGGGACAAGAGAGCTAAGAGGGCTGATCTTGTGATCATTGATTTTTAAAGCGTGAAGATGTCACACCCTCTGGGGGTGTGTGAGCCAATAAGAAGTTTTCCCTTTGGAGGGAAATTTTTAGGACCCGAACGCAGGGCATTTGAATTTTTTATTTCATTGGGTGTTTAAGAAAAGAATCTTCAAGATTTTAAACAAGAGTTTATAGAGACTAAGCATGCTACACATATGATTTTGGTTAACCATAGTATGCAAGTCATGTTTCAGACCAAAATAGTTTAGAAGAGAGAATGAAGACATAGGCCAAACCACATAAAAGGAAAATCATGAGATGGAAAATTAGATGCATGTTAATACATTTATCACATGGTTATATATATATATATATATATGTGTATATAGAATATACAGGATTAAAAGGGTTCATTTCTCCTTCTCAGCAAGAATTAAGTGAGAGTCACAATTCCCTGCACATTCCCTTTTGGGTCGTAAAACTTATACTGTAAGTCTTACTGAGACACCGAGTTCTCCCAGTGTGGTTTTTAAAGGAAGTTTCATAGACCATTGTTGGGAGAGTGAGTTTGCTGGATTATTCATTAAATATAATGAATAATTAGTGTGTGTCTGATTGGTCCAGACGCTACAGCACTACCGTTTAAAAGTGTGGGTGGGGTCAATAAGATTTTTTTATGAAAGAAAATAAGGTTTATTCAGCAAGGATGCATTAAATTCATCAAAAGTGACAGCAACGAGACAAGAGATGCTGTTCTTTAATTCATCAAAGAATCCTGGAAAAAAATGTATCATGGTTTTTACATAAATATTGAGCAGCACAGCTGGTTTCATTATTGTTAATAATAAGAAATGTTTTTTGAGCATCAAATCAGCATATTAGAATGATTTCTGCAGGATCATGTGCCACTGAAGACTGGAGTAATGATGCCTAAAATTCAGCTTTTTCACCACAGGAATAAATTACATTTTAAAATATATTAAAATAGACAGCCATTTTAAATTGTAATAATATTCACACCATAAAGCTGTGTTGACTATTTATAATCAAATAAAGGCAGCCATTAAGAGCATTTTAAATTGTAATAATATTCACACAATAAAGCTGTGTTGACTGCATTTATAATCAAATAAAGGCAGCCATTAAGAGCATAAGTAAAAAAAATCGAACGTTATATAGATTTTTCTCTCTCTTTCCACAGTCAGATATTTGTTAACAAAAAATCCTAACAAAGCAGTCAAAAGTTTGTTCTTCTGACCATTGCAATGTGATCGAGTATTTAGTATATATTTTATATATTAAACTCTATTTATGCTCCATTTCTAAATTTTCTCTACTATACTCTTAATATTACAATGTCCAAGCATGTCCATTTAGTGGATCCAGAAGCATCTCTAATGCAGAGTATTTATTGATTGTTGAGCATATCTCTGTGGAAAGGCCTTTCTCCTTTAGCTGCCATGTCTGATATGCCTGTACACAGCTGTTGTGCCAAACAGGAAGGGAAATAAGTGGCTTGTGGAAATGAGGCTCTGTTGATCTGCCTGTGGCAGCGACATGATAATAAAATAAGCGCTATCCACTCTGTAATCGTCCTTGTGATTCAGGGCCCTGTCATGTTCAATCAAATGAGAGAGGGACTTTATAAATGCAGAAAGTGGAATTATTCTTTCACAACAATGCACTGATAGCTGATGTCAAACAAAGTTAATAAGCCAGTGCTCTATTTTTCTCCTGCCTCTATCATTCCTCTTACTCTGAATGAAAGATATGTGTGCATCACGGTTCCTCATTCTACACCATATTTTCAGTGTGTGTTGGAGTGCGTGTCATATGGTGCCATTTTGTCAGTATGTATGCTAAAATATTTCTTGTCCTCCACATCTGAAAAACACGCTTAAACAGGTTAAAACATTTTTACCCATATTTTTTGTTTGAAGTCAGCAAAACTTTCTGGCAGTATATTTAACATTCCCGGCCAACGTTCTGGTTGTCTGGCAATGCATTTAAAGCTCAGTTGACGCTGGTGTCTGCAAGATGTGCATCCAACTGGATCATTTCTTTTTGCAGTGGTTGAAGAGAAGCATGTCAGATGAGATTCACATACAACACCTTTGCCTTGGTAAATAAATGTGTTTTTTTATGGCAGGTTTGTTTTTTTCCTCCCACAGGATTACAATGATGAGATCAGGCAGGAGCAGCTTCGTGAGCTCTCCTATTTAAATGGTTCAGATGACCCAAGCCGAGGAAGAACCACGCGAGGACGTGGCTTACGTCTGACCTCCACAGCCTCCACCCGGTACAGTCGCTTCACCTCATAACCCCTCTGAAGAATCATAGAAACCTTAAAGGAATAGCTCACCCAAATATGACATCATTTATTTACCTTCATGTCTTCCAAAAATGTATGACTTTATTTCTTCCAAGGAACACGAAACAATACATTTTGGAGATTCTTAAAGATATAAAAATCTGATTTTATTAAAAATAATATGATAAAATATCATAAAAAAAGAATCTCAATCAGTGTTTCGGATGAAACCAAAGCCATCCAAATGTACTCTAACCGCTTTAGCTCTAACTGTTAACAACTCTAACAGACGCCCAATTTTGACTCCCAAACATCTGCGCTCTGCTGGATCATGAAAGTGCCCTGAGGCGCAGTGTTATTAATCAGGTTAGCAGGTGAAGCTTTAATTGTTCTCATCAAAAGCATAACTTATATATACCATCATACATTATTTACACCATCTTTAATGTTTATTTCATAAATTCCACACTGCACTTGTTCTGGCTTGCTGGAGCCTCTGAAGATCCCTTTAGGATTCTCCCACAACAACGACAGCTTGCGTTACCTCAGGTAGTAATAATAGATTCAAAATATGATATTTCTGTTTACCGTTCCTGGCGGATAAAGCTATAAAGTGCCTCTTCCACTTGATGTGCTCCTTGTGGTGCCCTGAGAAGTCATTACCACACATCAGCATGGCAAAAACAACACTGATGAGGCCATTAGTCTCTGTAGGGTCTTTGGATTTGGATAGACTGAATGTGGATCTGGACAGACCGAAACATCTGCCATTCACCAGAGTTGCCAACTCCATCTGCCATGTTGCATCTGTAATCAGGTCGGTTTTTACTCTAGAAACAAACAACTTTACCCCTTGATTCATCCTAAAAACAGTAGCAGGTCAAAATAAAGCTGTCTCTCATCGTAGTGAATGAAACATTGTGTTCTACAGGTCGGTTTTTGATGCCATGCTTCACTGCCACTGTTATAGTGTGTAACCAGAGCAGTGCTGTAAAAAAAAATAGCTGAGGCAGTGAATATTGCAATATCTTTGAGAACTCATGGTTCATAGGGCTTTAATAGGCTGTCTGTGGTGAAAACACTAGCTAACAGCAACCCACTAGTATAGCACTGCAGCAAATGACTTCACACAAAATGCAAATTTTTCATCTGTAAACACTGGAGTTGTGCTGCACTAATTTTGCATAGTGCTGTCACTGCATGTGGTTCTGCATTACGGTAATGTCAAACAATTATGGGTAAATTTGGTGATAGACTAGAGTCAAATTAACACTTTTACTGAAGTGCCTAAGATAATGGCTACACTGTAAATTGCATATTCAGAAGAATCAAAATGGTTACACATTGAGCTAATTGTACATCGACAAACTGTTTTGAATATGAAATTGAGATTTTTTTTTTTAATGCCATTCAATTATTGGAATATTGGTTCATGAATAATTTTTGTTGTATTTTAGCTCAATATTAAATACGCACATATATATACATATTTTTATTTTCATAAAAATAAAATAAGCAGTTAAAAAATAGAAAAATGCTATTTTGTGCTTAAAATCATATCGTTCCATTTACTCTGTTTTTAGAGGTCGAGGAGGGGCTGCTCCACCCACTCCTCCTGGACGAGGAGCAGCAGCACCCAGAGGAACTGTGAGCACGCGCACCTCCGTCACCACACCAACACTAGCCAGAGGAGTCTCTGCACCCCGGACCAGAGGAACTACAGGGACCCCTGGATACAGAGCCTCTGTACTGCAGGCCACACACAAATCATATGATGACTACGTAAGTGAAGATTCAGTGTTTTTAATGTTTTTTTGTTGTTGTTTTTTTGGAGTGCTTAAAGGGATACTCCACTTTTTTTGGAAATAGGCTCATTTTACAACTCCCCCAGAGTTAAACTGTTGAGTTTTACCGTTTTTGAATCCATTCAGCCGATCTCCGGTTCTGGCGGTACCACTTTTAGCATAGCTTAGCATACATCATTGGAGTGGACAAGACCATTAGCATTTCTAAAAAAAAAATGACCAAAGAGTTTCGATATTTTTCCTATTCAAAACTTGACTCTTCTGTAGTTACATCGTGCACTAAGACCGACGGAAAATGTAAAGTTGCGATTTTCTAGGCTGATATGGCTAGGAACTATACTCTCATTCCTGCGTAATAATCAAGAAACTTCACTGCCGTACCATGAGAGCAGCAGGCGTAATGATATGACGCAGCGCCTGAAAATAGTTCCGTTGTGTTGACGGAAGGTGGCCTATTTTCAGGCGCTGCGTCATATCATTACGCCTGCTGCTCTCATGGTACGGCAGTGAAGTTTCTTGATTATTACGCAGGAATGAGAGTATAGTTCCTAGCCATATCAGCCTAGAAAATCGCAACTTTACTTCCGTCGGTCTTAGTGCACGATGTAACTACAGAAGAGTCAAGTTTTAAATAGGAAAAATATCGAAACTCTTTGGTCATGTTTTTTTTTAGAAATGCTAATGGTCTTGTCCACTTCAATGATGTATGCTAAGCTATGCTAAAAGTGGTACCGCCAGAACCGGAGATCGGCTGAATGGATTCAAAAACGGTAAAACTCAACAGTTTAACTCTGGGGGAGTTGTAAAATGAGCCTATTTCCAAAAAAAGTGGAGTATCCCTTTAAGTGTTTTAGTTAAATGTGCATTTTCTACACCAAGGAATTGGTGAACATTTGGTGATGTTCTACTGTATATGTCCAGAGTTGAGTTGATGTTTATTACTGAAAGTATTGCTTATACACCCACACAAAGACATATAAACACGCTCACAAAATAAAAGGCTTGGCAGAAGAAAGGTTTATGAATCCTTAAATCAAATCCACTGAGGTAAATGGGCAAAAACTCACAGGAAGGGCCTTTCTATTTACCAAAGGTTGATGAATCAGTGGAGACAGAACCTATTTTGACAGATTGAATGCCTTAAGATGTTAGTCCACATGTTCACATACTGTAAAGAACAGCCATGTGGTGCAAAAAGAAAAGCATCTGCTCACTCCATTGACTATTATTTGAGGGTGGCAATGAGTTGGACTATCACTTTCAGTATTATAATTATGATTATTATTAAAAATAGTGGATCCTTTTCACCATTTGTAGGACAACACCTCCTCATTGCAGACTTTTTGCACTCAGGTGTGCACAAGGTTATTTTTCAGAATTCTCAGCCAAGTGAACGTCAAACTCCAACCTAATGAAAAAAGCAATATCGCATGGATTCGATTCCCTCTGAGCTTTTGCCTAATGCAAAAGTCCTATATGTGCAGCACTGTGGCAGATTGGTATGTCTGCATGGGGAAATGTTAGAGTACAGACTCATTACCAACGTGAATTGAGTTCTGCTGGAGAGCCTCTGTATTACTGGAGACATGGAAAACGTGGAAATATTTCTGAGTAATTGGGTCTTGGGTAGGCAGGTGGAGGAAAGTAGACCAGGAAATGAGTAGTTCACTAGGAACACCATTCAAAATCTAACCTTGCCCATCTTCAACCTCAGGGATTTTTCACTAGAAAATTTGAGAATTCCAATAGTTATTTGTGGAAATATGTGTTTAATAGTATGCATATCTTCATGTCTTCTATAATTTTCTATACATAATACACATAATTGCATCTTGTATTAGCTTTTCACATTTCATTGATAAGAATCATTTTATACAGGATTCAATATCTTTATGAATCATATTAAATGTGAGAGATTAACTTAACAGCAGAAAAGTTATATTAATATCAAACAATCATGGGAAGGTTTGGTGCTGATATACTAATTAGATAATGAAAACACTGTCGATTGCATAATCATAATAATGAAAACTCTTCTAAGCTAAATTCACAAAGACCCAACCTGTTTTAAATATTAAGTTGAGTTTTGTTTTGAATGCCATTCAATTATTGACATTGATAAATACTTTCTGCTGAATTTTATTTCAATATTAAATAAATAAATAAATATAACACATATTAATAATTATTGTAATATATAAATAATAAGCTTGGTAAACTTGGAGAGTATTTTTTGTTTGATAAATTAAAAAACTGCATTATAGAATAATGTCTAAATCTGTGCAAATTAGGATATTTATCCATACCCTTAAAATAATATGCACTGCCAGTTATGTTCTTTAATGAAATAGAAATTTATTCACAAGCTAAATAGACAAAAAATTACTTATAAGGTTGAGAAAAGAATACAATTGGATGTGTGTGTGTGTGTGTATATATTCTATGTATTGTATGTTCAATAGAAAGAGTCAGGCAGTTTTTTTTTTGGATTTGCTGTCTGCTTTTATACACACTTTGCTGTCATCCAGGTTTAAAATGAAAGACACATGAATATCCACTGCTGTGTGGCAATGTTCTGCTCTTTTTTGTTGGTGAGCATTTGAATCCAGTTAATCAGCTCTTATGCATCAGCCGAGCCGTGCCAGACATCCTCCTCCTCTCCCTCTTAGCACAACAGCTTTACTCAAAGATCACAAGTGCTTTCTCAGAGGGCTCTTCACTCTTCTACCAACCAGTCCGACGCTCCTCTATGAGCTGACGCCCCTTTTCTTACCACAAAATAAACAAACCTCTGAATGTGGCTTAGTAGAAAACTAGTGGGATATCTGTGCTCTAACATTTTAAAATAATGTTCAAAGCTGCTTGTTGATTTGCAATTATCCAGTTTTTCTTATCTGTTAGCCGTTGTTTGTATGTTGTTTGATGTAAAAATACTTTTTCCTATCCCATCTTAATATGCAGAGTGGCCATAAGTCATTTGTAGGTGAGTATGCTGAATAGTGTAAACAATGAGGATCAGTGGCGTTATCAAACATTGTTTTGTTTGTTTGATTATTCTGACCAGCCCGGCATAGACAACAGGGTCTCTAAACCAATGGTGTTAGATTGGGGGTGGAGCTATCTGCTTATCTTGATCAATGGTAGATGGGGAAAACTGTTTGAGAACAATAATTACTTTTTCAATTCGGTTGGATAACACTAGTGTTTAAAGGGACAGTTTGGTTAGTTTGCTGATTGCCCTTGTCTTTTATCAGGTGTGAGGGTTTAGGGTTTATGTGAATTTAAAATCCCTTGATAAGTTGTTCTTATTGCCTGACGAAGACCTTGTTTGATTGAAACATTGAAATTTATTTAAGTTTCCTGGGAGCAGATAAAGCGGGGTGCCTTTATTTATTTTTTTCATTTCTTTGATTTTGACTTTTTCCTGACCAAGCACCTTCCCAATTTTGCATGCGCACTTGCAAATAACTTTTAAAAACTTAAAAGATATCCACATAATCAAGCTGTTTAATCTAAGTGTTTTGAAGTCATGCAAGCATGTTTGATCAGCCGTTTACCTTTAAAATAACCCTTTAAAATAGGCACTATCACTGTACGCTCCTGAAAACACCCTAGAATTTTCCATCCATAATATACTGTTTTAATGTACTGTTGAAAAAAGCAAGTGAAAAACGTCACAACCAGCTCAGTGTGGATAAATAAATGAAAAGGGTCAATGAAAGAAGACATTGAGTGTCTCGGATATCACAGTAAACCTCTTAGACGCACAATCACACACCACTTCACATGGCAAGAGCCGATTCAACGTGCAGAATAGAATGTTGCAAAAAGGCTTCGCTCGCACAGTTCTCACAAGGTTCTCACCATGGCTGTAATTGTTTTTTAACAATGGGCTCGCTTACACCGCTGACTTGACATTTTTGAGGTGAACTAATTATTGAAATGGAATTCTTCATGCAGAACTCCCTCGTTTAATAAAACAGATGTACGACATACACCTCGAGAAGAAGTTTAATAATTTCCTGCTGAAGAGAAGCATGTGAAATGCCTAGAGGCTCTGCATATTATTTCAGGTCTAAGAGCTGCATATAAAATAGCACAGAAAAGTAGAACTTCTGCTTTTGCTGAAAATATCAAGAGCTATGTGGCTTGCAGTGGCGGTTAAATTGTTGTGTACAGTGCATGCAAATATCAGGCCTTATGCTTTCTATGAGCAATGGTATATTTACTGGTCAGTGATTACTGAATCAGAGCTCCTTGTCGTGCATAAATAACTCCTATTAAAAATTATTGCGACATGATTCGCAAATGTGAAATAGATTGCTCCGTTACATGAATTGCGGCATCTGAAGGTTAGAAGTAATAGCCTAGTCTGTCATCAGCTTACTGAATTAGTTATTTTTATTTGGGTGATTGTAAAAGTTTATGTAACAAGTAATAAGTACTCCTATATTTCTACTGTGAGATCTTTGGCAATAAACAGTCTTAGTTTATTACAGAGCTCCCTGCATACATTTCTGCTGCCACCTTCTTAGTACTGGCAAACGACTGTGCTTTCAGGCAAATCCTGTGCTTTCAGGCTTCTCTAAATTGTTATTTTAGCTCTATAAATATTCATGTGGTTGTTCTTGAGTTGGTGGAAAGTGTCTTAACAATTCAGTGAGCTGTTATCATATATGAATCGACATATCAATTATTACTTTCCAGGTGGTAAGTAGTAAGATATTTTAATTCTGTAGGGGGGGATAAATAAATTAAATTAAAACCTGTTTGCCTAAAGGAAGGACTGTGTTCTGTGAAATCTGTTCTCTTGAAATCTTGTGCTCTTGAATATGTAATGATTTCGCCACATATGGATCAACACATGGTAATTGATATATTTGCATGGAAATGTATGGGGGAACTCAAAGAGCAGCTGTTTAAAAAAACCTATTCAATCAGATTGTCGTCAAATCGCAATTAAATTTAACATTGCACATGTTACTTCATATAATAGTTATTTTACAAAGAATTTACTTCTATTATTATTAAATTCCAATGATACTTATGATCCAAATTTATTTAATTGGCCTATAAATATTTCCTTAAGGTTGATCGTGCTGTTTTGACAAGCGAATGTTTACCTTAATGCCATGAATCCAAACACAAACACAATTTGACACCAATGATAAGAGCAAATACCAAAGCTCTAGTTGAGTTATTGTATATTAAAACATGCTGCCTCTTCTACTGTATACTCTGCTGCTTAGGATATGCATAGCACTCTATCAAGGGGCAATTTTAACAAACCGGTCAATTAGTGGAAGAGAACAGACCCCTGACCCTATTAGCATGAGGAAAAACTAATAGAAGGAAAATTGTATTTCTGTTTTCTTATAAACTGTGGTTGACTGAACATGCTTAAAGGTAGGGTAGGCAATTTTCAGAGAGGCTAGCAATAGCGAGTTAGCTTTGAAAGCATAAGATCCCACCCTTCCTTTAGACCGCTTTCCAAAGCAACGCCTCCTTCAAAACAAATGAACGCATACAGCAGGGGGCAAACAAAAGTGTCACGAGAGACTGTGTTAAACTACCTCATGTCTCAAAGCACATAACATTACAATAATAATGAACATAAGCAACTTAAAGAGCACTGACCTGTATCACCTGACTGCTGCAGATTCATTTCACTGTTGATAGTGTAGCCATTGAAGCGCATGAATTCGAATCACAAACTGCTCCAAGTATAACGTCATGGGTTTCCATCTCTTGCAAATTACAGTAGTTATGGCCTGAATGCAGCATAAGCTCTTTGTTTTGGTTCAGGTGGCTGTTTCAGTTGTGGTGTTTGTGCTGACATCTGTCTAACTCTGCATACCATGAAACGCGCTGAAGACGTGTGATGTCTGCGCGAGCAGGGTGCGCAGAGGTATGAAAATACATACATTGACAGGCAGGTTGAACATCATATTGGACAAACATTTTATGGTCCTTATGGACTTCCACAGGCGATATACATAAAAATACATTTAGACCACTTAACTTAGCTGTCAGGATGTGAAGAGCTTTTCAAGCAGCATAACAAGAAAAATAAAATCTGGAACAAATCGCCTACCCTGCTTATTTTATCATTAAACATATTAGTCACTAAACATCATGATTTGAAACGCAGTTTCCCTTTAATATAAAATTGATGTGCAATGAAATCCCATTTTGATTATGCTTGAAAGAATTATGTGTCCTTTAAACGTTTGCAACAATCATAACGGACCATTAAATATATATATGGCCTGTTGAATGTCAGTATATTTCAGACTGCTTCATCCTGTCTGGCCTTAAGCCAATGTTTGCTCATACTTCAAACGGAAAATATTAGGCCTGAAAAATTGGTTGATAAATAAAGGGTAGACAAAGAGACTTCATTCAATAAGCAGACGGAGTCACAGCCAAAAAGCGTTTTCAACCATTCATTTCCTTTTGCTGCTCTCCAGTGAGGAATGATATTCAGTTGCCGTCCCACACAGAGATCAGTCACTGTCAAGAGGTGTTGGTGGTTGTCAATTGATAATGAAGCTGAGTATTGAAGACCTTTGGCTGTCTGCTGTATTAATTACTCTTGCAGTGCTCTCTACCACTTGATTTATTTCCTGTTAGCTTGCTCAATAGGACCAGAGTTAATTGCTCTTTTAAATGACTGTTGAAATGTAACAATCAAGCACCATTAACTAGAGCTTGCTCAAATTATGCGCAGTGGCTTGTAAGTGCATGGTAAAGTCAGGAAGGTCAGACACAAGGACCTTTTAAACAGCACTTTGTTATTATACTAAGTAATATACTGTAATTATACCCTGGTCACACAATGTTTGCATAGATGTGCAAGGCCTCTGCATACTGTAAGATCCAAAATAGTTTTAATATCTGAAATTTCATGTAGGTGTATTCATGTGTTCATATCGTAGTATTTAAAAATATTTTTGGTGTATATTTTATAGGAATAGTTTTAAAGGAATAGTTCACTCACCCTCATATCTTTTTTTTCTGGTTTTCTTTCTGGATCAAATAGTTCATTGCACAGATCGTAACATGACATGAGGATGAGTAAATTATAATCGAATTTAAATTTTTGGGTGAACTATTCTGTTTGGTCATGTCTTAGCAGACAAAAAGGACACATCTTCATTTTCATGAATGTTAAAATGGAAACTACTCCTTCCGCTCTTGATGAAATGACCCTATTAAACGGGTAGGTCAGCCACTACCTCTCACTCTTCTGCTAAAATGTATTTCCTCAGAGAGCTGTTGGTATTAGTGTGATTGACATGTTCTGAAATATGCTATTAAATAGTAAAACATGCTGCCTCTTTGCTGTATACTCTGCTGCTTAAGATATGCATAGCACTCTATCAAGAGGCAATGTTAACAAACCGGTCAATTAGTGGAAGAGGACAGAACCCTGACCCTATTAGCAGGAGGAAAAACTAATAGAAGGAAACTTGTGCGCTAGATCTCCCGAACAACTTAATCCCTGGCATAATCCATGACTTTCATTTAGTCTAATCCTTCTTCATACTCATAAAAGCAGACTGTTGTGCAGAATTTGAATGCAAAGGGAATAGGCAGGGTCAAAATAGCTTGCCCAGGTTATTTTCTGACAGATTAGGCCTAATAAAAAAGGAAGCATTTTCAGTTAGTCTGTCGAACAACAAAATGGAAACACGAAACTGTTTGTTATGAGTTTGCATTTATGAATAATTTGGAGTTTACAGCAATGATTACAGCAATGACGCTATGACACTATATTGGATTGATTAAAGTGTCATAGCATCATTGCTGTAATATTGTGTATTATTTAGCATGAATGAAACGCTGTGTTAACAAATCAGAAACAAGGAACAGAATTATCGTTTTATCATTTATATTACTACACTACTCTCTGGAATACTTGTTGTATTACTGGATTTCTGGATTTCCGGATTTCCATCATACCAAAATATAAAGCCAGAATTAAAGCACAGTCAGACCATAAAATATCTGCACATTCAGTATATGAATGGTTATGATAATAATTCCTCTCAATATCAGTGATGGTAAAAAAAAAGAAAAAAAAGATTAAGTGTATGGGATGACACCAGTCATGACTCATGTAGGATCCCTTGGACATGTTATAGTGAAGTTTTAATCTGTTTATTGTTTCTTTTGTCTGTAATATTGAATCGACCTAGGCATTATCCACTTGTCTTCAGACATGGCAAATGAGACAATTGTCGCTTACTGATCAATATTTTCTGTTGGACATGATTTAGCTGTGCCAGTCCACCACTCTCAGAGTATATTTATTAGAGAAATCCTATTGCAGTGTAATTAAACATTGATTTTCCAACCCTAAACAATTAGAGTACTGCTTTGAGATGGATTCAGACCTCTTACGTCTCCCTCTGTGATTACTCTTTTGTGTTTCTGTTCAGGGATATGATGATGGTTATGACGGGGAATATGATGACGAGAGTTATGAGGGCTATGATGACAACTACAGCAACCAGTCGAAAAGGTGCACATTTCATTTCTTCAAAGACATTTTGTCACAACATGAGCTAATTTATGTGTATTTTCACTCTAAGAATCTGTCAAAATGTCTCATAAGAAATATTTTTTCTCCTACAGTGTCTCAGAATACTATGAATATGGACACGGAAATAATGGTGAAACCTATAATAATTATGGTAAGGAATTTATCTGATCTACAGTTCTGCTAAAGCATCATGACTTTCATTGCAAACTTTTTATTTAATTTTTTTGCTCACTAGGGAAACTATTAGCATTTTAGGTCAACCATTTTTAATGGTGCACCACAAAGAGAAACATCCTCTTTGCATAGCAGTAGTTCGCGTAGCAGGCGGGCTGAAACTCAGTCATGGCACATTGCCCACACCAGTGAGAAACAACCTCTTTGCCTCATTCATTTTCCATATTGCTGTTAAATGTTTCAGAGCTAAAGGTAAGGAAAAACACCTAGCGGCATTCGCCAGTTGTTAAATCACAGAGGCCCAGAGCACAGCAGCTGCCATCTTACCTTACTAGTCTGCTTCAGGGCTGGGTTTTAAGATGCACTTGAAATCATGGACCAGAGCCAGTAGAGAGCTGGAGGCGTTGCTGAGGCCCACCAAGAGAGTCAGAATGGCCTTTCAGCCCATACATTTGCCTTTGAATATGTGCCCTCTCTGGATAATATTTGATGCAGGATTCCCTCTGTTCTTGGCATTGACTGTTGTGTTCCTCTGATGCCAGTTTTCCGTTGTATACATACCTGCTCATTCATTTTGCATTGTGTCAAATTGTGCAATGGAGTGTCTCTGTGAAAAGGAATGATTTGATATTTTGCCACCTTTTGACTTGAAACCAAGATTTTTTTGTGTTACAAAAGGTTTTGCTTGTTAGGCATTTAGGATCATATGGATGATTTCCGCTTCCAGAGTAAAAAAAAGAAAAGAAGGTAACTTGTGTCTTTATATCTCATAATAGCGAATTCGTCTTGCAACTTCATGTTGCACAATGTGTCAATAAGTCTCACAGTTGCACCTTCGTTTCTCCCAATTGTGACATTGTTTGCAACCTTATATATTACAGTGTGTTATTATATCTCATAGTATAACTTCATCATTTGCAATATGATGTCTCATGATGTCTTTATATATCACAATTGTGATTATTTCAAGCAGTGTGACTTTATATTGCAATTGTGACTTTATATCTCAAACTGTGACTTTATTTGTGACTATTTCTAGTAATTGTGACTTCTTGCTATGTGATTTTATTTCTCACAGTGTGACTGTATTTCAAAATGTGACTTCTTGCAATGTGACTTTATATATCACAATGTGATTTCATTTTGAATATTGTGATATTTTAACGATCTGAAACGCAAGTATCAAACTCGAAACGCAAGTAACTTTGTGGGCGGATCTTGGGCGCTGTTGCTAATATACCGGCGGGATAAATGACTCTTGCGCCCGACGCAAATCTAAAATGGGTTGGTCTGAAGTAGCAACATTACTCATAGGTGTGGTTTGGGCGTAACGTGCAATAAACCTATCAGAGCGTCATCTCACATTCCCTTTAAAAGCAGGCGCGCTTGTTCCATGGCGGATTGCTATTATAATGGCGGATTTGCCAGGCGCACACCAGGAGCGGTTCACAGCCGAGGAGACCTACGTTCTCGTCAGGGCAGTAAAAGACAGAGAAGTGACATTGTATGGGGATGAGAGAAACCCACCCAAATTAGCTTCGGTTAAACAGGCGTATAATAATTTGGGTAAATGTGTAAGCTAGATTTATGCCTATTTTTTCACATCTTCATGGACACCACAATGATTTCCCTCGTGTGGTAATATTTTTCCTTGTAATTATGTATGGTTTGCAAAACTGGGAACTGCTGTGTCTGTGTAGATGAGAGAAGCAAAGTGTATGCGCGTTGTGCACACGCTACATTATGGCCAAGCATGCGCCCTTAAAATAACATCTGAATAACGCGCCACTGACGTTAGACTAGGTTTTTCCTGGTCTGTGGCGGAATTGTTTTCTGAAACGGCAAAATAGCACCAGGGAACATTTGCGCTGGAACACGCCGCCTCTTTTCGCTGAACCGCCCCCGGGAGCGCAAGTTCATTCCCTAATTTACCGACATGCGCCTGTGGAGGGAAAAGTCCGCTGTGCATCAGGTGCAAAATAGGAATGATACATGCGTCAGTGTACAAAGTCAATTGCGCTGGGTGCAAGATAGGCCCCTTTATCTCACAATTACATATTGGAATTATTATTTTTTTACTCAAAGGCGGAAGCAGGCTTCCATAGGATCATTATAAGTTGGCAAGATCAGTTTTTCACAGTGAGGAGGATGTAAGGGGAAAACATATTAAGTATAATGTGAGTAAGGGAGGGCTGTTTGTGTGGTAGTGATCATTACACACAGAATACTGGAATGTAAGGGATTTTGTAATGATGTATAATGGTTTTTCCTTCTTTCTCAGTGAAACTGTAGTTAGCAACAATGAAGGTTAAGGTTCTTTGCCCTGAAGGCGGGCTGATTGTTTCTTCAATGGCCCAGCGATCACACTCCGAGAACCTAATGGAGCATCGGCTCCCAACACATACTGTATTTAAATGACAGCAGGGTCATGCTGTGAGCTCAGCCAGGATTTCATGCCTCATCTGCTCAGCCTTTGGTAACTGATAATTAGGGCAAAGTGACATTGTATATTTCTGAAATCTATGATAATGGACCGAGGCGAACATGCCCAAGATGAGATGTGGGGAATGGAGCTCTAATTATTGAAATGTATGTGTAAGATGATCAGCTGGTGCTCAGTTTATCATTTTGTAATGCTTAGATCAAAAAAAGCATAAAAAATTGCTAATGTCACATGGAATTACATGGCCTTAGGATATCCATCCCTTGATGAATCTTCATAGCATTGCATTTCAGCCATTTAAGGAGGCTTCCTTACTTCTCTACATATCACTTGTGTTAAATGAAATTTTCAAATGAAGATTGTTTTACCTGATTATTAGTTTAGCATTTTTTGTTTAATCATCTTACTTTTAGCAGAAGAGGACTGGATATCATCCCGGCCCAACCTCAAAGCTCCAGCATCAAGACTTAATCGAGGGGGCTACAGAGATCACCCCTATGGTAGATATTAAAGGTGCTCCAGATCATGTGACCTCCATGCAATGCAAACCGCATTTACTAGGCCTAAATAATATAAAAAGGGATTTTTAAGTGACAGGTCAACCATGTTTTTAAACTCATCCTTACCTTGGGTGAAGGGATGGGAGATACATGGTCCCTTCTTTTCTTATCTGAAACTGTTGACTTCTTTGTAAAATACCATATGAACATTAGTTCTGGCCAGAATTTGGCAGTGTACTTTTGTCATTGAATGCTCCTTCCTTTAGTTTTCCATTGTTTGTCCCCCAAATGTAAAGCATGGAATTAGCTACACATTGTGCTTCCCGGATTTTGGGAATCTTTGCGTTAAGGAAAAAGTGTATCGCCGCAGTGAAAAGACTCATTTTGTACATAACATCTTTCTTAATACTTCTTGATTTGATGATGGTAAATACTGAGTTTGTATATTTAATTTTGATATCAGTATTGGGTTTGAAAGCAATTGGCTATGTATGTAGCCACATCCAAGTGCTTTGCTTTGTGTGTAGCTTGTATTTGTACATAAAAAATGTAATAAAAAGGATGTAAAGCGCATTGTGCAAGCTTCTCTAAATAGGTGATTATAATTGTTAAACTTGTGTTGCTATAATTTGTTAATAAGGATGAGATCATTTTTTTGTAAAATTAGATTAGGTACGTACTTGTTTCTAGTACTAAATGCCTGTTTGACCTGAAATGGCTAATATGTTGTTTTTATATTTAACCAAGAAAGCCACAAAAAGGAACCGTAGAGACGTTGTCAAGTCATATTGTGTAATAATAGATAAGCTACATTAATAGAATTAAACTTTGTTAAATAATTTTTAACATTAGCTCTAAATTGTTCATTGACTCTTGATTAGTCATTTAAATGTTTAACATGTTAATGGAAATCAACTGTTTAGATCAATAAATTGAATCTTTTTTAACACACTCTTTAAGCTTCAGCTTATTAAACAATAAGTCGGACTGACTTGTCTGCACTAACGTCACTCTGAGAATGATATGGAGATTCAGGAGGTAAGAACGTCCCCATATTCCAATAAGATGTTCTAAGTGCCTTCAGCCTTTGGTGTTAACCACTGTAGCAACACTCATATTTCATCACTCACAGGAGTGAATGGGATCCTGTTAAATTGCTTTATCTCTGCTACCTACAGTATATTTTCTTCTGCTATTTATGTTAATGAACATCAGAAGGCTGCATTTTTGTTGTAATACCAATGCATTTAAATATCAGCACTATTGAAAGCCCCATAGAGACCTAAACTCTTTTTTGTGACTATTAGAACTGAATGCTGACTCGTATTAAGACTTCGAAAGGATGACTAAACGTTAAGCAGGTAACCCTAATAATAACTCTAATGTTGCGAATGCCAGTCATAAATTAAGTTATTTATACTTCAAAAAGTAAACCTGCCCTCACTAACCCCAAATAAATGCCTCGGCCCTCTAAATCCGCTAATAAAGTTAACTAGTGACACCAAAAATGACTTACTAACACATAAGAAAGAAAGAAAGAAAAAGCAATTAACAATCCATCTTTTAAAACAAGCTAAAACTGATCTATAATACCTGACCAGCTAAACTAAGCTTTTTAACCAGAAACGCTGAAAAAGATGGTTGCTCTCAAATCATATTCTGCTCTTGACAGCTTTTGTCCAGCCCCACAAATTGGTTTACTTTTTTGATAGTAACATATGCTTTGTCAAACTGTTTTCAATCCATCTGTTAATCGTGCATGCGAGTGTACGTTTGTTTTGACTTGTAGTCTCACTCATTGTTGTTTCTTCATTTTGTGTATTATACTAATAGCGCCTTAAAATCTGTATCTTAAATACGATTTATCCTTCCAACAGGTACCAGTCTCTCTGTGAGCTGAGATGCAGTGGATTGAATCAGACTAGGTAAGCTGCAAAAGTGTCTCTACACGACAAGTGCATTCAAATATAGTTTAGTTGTATATATTTGCTTTTTACTGGGGTTTATTACAACTTCTTGCTTTGACACAAGTCCATCCATTTTCCCAACGTCCCAGGCCTTTAAAGGGGTCATATGAAGGACTTCATAAAACGCTTCGTTCAAACACGCCCCTGCAAATCTACGTCAGTGTGTGGGGGCAGAGTTTCATAACACCGCCCAAATGTAAACGCAAAGAAAGAAGGCGTAGCTTTTATTCTCGCTGTATTGTTGCCGCCGGCGCCGCCACGTCATTGAGACACTGTATTTTTCGTTGCGAAAGCCAAACTACTTTGTTTGGCCTTCCAAAAGAGGACACAGTTAGAAAACAGTGCTTAAGCTTTATTTACACCACTGTTCCAGAACAGTACAACTAAAATTTTCGACTGTGTGCTGCGCATTTTTCGGAGGACTGTTAGCAGAACCTGGGAGAGTAGCTACAAGGCCGGCTGTGCACAAAGGCCGATTCTAAAAAGTGGGGAAATTCCATCTTTGCATGTACAGTCTGGTGCTTCTGACTCACACAGCCTGTAAGTATGTTTTCATATTTTAAGAATTTGCTACTGACTATTCGAAAGCGAGTTTTGAGCAGTATAGAGTAGCGTTTTTTGTTGTTGTTTCTACGATCACAAATACAGACATAGTTTTATGTTTACATAGTGTTCTGACACCCATAGCGCGAAGCATAAAAAGACAGTATAATTCATTTTAATCAGCAATTATGTCCCCAATTAAATAAAACCTTACCAATCTGATACGTTCTGGTCCAGTCGCACTGGCAAAGTTGATCAATCAGCTTGGTCATCTGCATTTTCCGGATCAGATTCGGGCTCGAATTGATAAGGTAGTACCGACATTATCACCTGTCATAAAGTTTGGGAGCTGATGTTCCACATATGGTAAGGGGCGTGACATTTCCATCACACGCTTAAGGTTTTTGGGCCAATCACAATGCACTGGATTGCTGGCCAATCAGAGCACACCACGCTTTTCAGAACGATGAGCTTTGTAAAAACCGACGCGTTTCAGAAAGGTGGGGCAAAGAGGAGCAACAATAATGTACAGTATCTGTAAAATAATGACTTTTTTTTTTTACCTAAAACCGTGTAAACACATTGCATTAAACCAAATACACAGAATAATGTTCTTTTTAGAACATCATTATGACCCCTTTAAACCCTTATGAAAAATAAGTTTATTCAAGTGTGCTATTAGTATACTTCTTTTAAACTAAAAATAAGTATACTTTCAGTCTCCTTTTCATCCTCAGGAATATACTTTATATACTTCTCAGGAAGATACTTAAAATTGCACTTAAGTATACTTGACTTATACTGACAGAAAAGTCTAAGTATATTTGGCCTATAATTGAACTCAACCTTTTGATCGAGATATACTTAAAAGTATAATAAAGTATTCTAAGTATAATTGGCTTCTAGTTGTGTTTAATCTTTTGATTGAGTAGCCTATTAAATACTATACATTTTTTCACTTAGATTTACAGGTCAAGTCTTAAACTTACATTGTTTGAAAATATTGATTTATAAAGAAAACAGATATTTTTGTGTAGGCTAGTCCAATGGTAGTGTACATAGGAATTTACGTCAAATCTACTTAACTCTTTCCCCGCCATTGACAGAATTTTCCGTCTATCCGTGTTTTCACTGTTATACGGTTCTGAAAATAGAACAGAATCTCCTGATCAAAACACAGGTGAAGAAGCAGAAACAAGTGATAGAAGGTTGCTCACTTAAATGTAAAATAACACGAACATTAAAGAGCAAATAAATCAAAACTGCCTAACGTTACAGAATGAAATGTTGAACCCATGAAGAGGAAATGACTGTGAAGCTTTGGGGGTGTTGATGAACTCGATTTATTCCATCTGTGTTTTGATCATCATTCTAAATCCAATCGGGATGTAGTATTTGACAAAAATGTGATTTTCTCAGCTTTAAAAAAAAAAAATGTTGCTGCTTTTGTGCTGATGAAAAAGGATGCATGAAGCTATAATAAAATGTTTTTAAAATGGAAAGCGTTAAAGTAGTTAGAGGTATATTTGAAGTATAAAAACCGAAATAGAAACATAGTATTATACTTAAAGTGCCAAAATAATATACAAATAGTAAACTATGTATGATGTTATGTTCACTTAAAAAAACGTACCAGTGTACTTGCAGTATAAAACTGCTAAACTAGTAGTATACTTCTTTCATAAACTAAAAAATGTACTACAAGTATTTGACAAGTAAACTATCAGCATACCTATAAGTTCGCTTGTAGTTGCAGTACATATTAAAAACAAGTTGTGTACTCTAAGTTCACTACTGTTACACTTAAAGTATACTAAAAGTGTATTTTATATACTAAAAAGTGGACGAATTTACTCCAAAATAGTATTAAATCAGTACAGTTACAAATTTACTTCTAGTACATTATGTAATAAGCATACTAATACCAAAGTATACTTAATAATATACTTTAACTTTACTTAAGTATACTTAATAAAATGAACTTGAAGTATAGCCTACTTATGTTTTTGTAAGGGTATACAGGCAGGGAAACACCCTGGATTATGGAAGTCATTTAGTGTCTGTCATGCTTCATCGGAAGCACCAAGACAGTACCTATATGTAGTGCAGAGCTGTCTTAGTGCAAGAGAAAACAATAAAGCAAACAATTGTATTTCAGAGTTAGGAGCATGAATTAACGTTTTGTTGTGACTGTACAATTAATAAGCCATTTAGCAAGTAACACAAACATCCCTTTAGGTTAGCTTGAAGACAGAATCCCTCTCAGTATGAAATAGACTTGTGAAACTATGCACAGATTAATTGCACACACCACTAAAATATTAAGGGTGATAGTATGACCTCGAGTGAAATGTGGCCTTCAGGAACAATGCTTTGAACATTTGGGTAATTAACAACTTTTTGTATTAATTACGATGCAGGTGATCCCAACATGTGGAGCATAACAGCAACAAGAGACTAAAACACAGTGTTCTTTAGGATTCATTTAGTTTTGTTTTTTTCTGCTAGTTATTCTGTTCATTTTGACCATCATCACACTATTTTGGTTGTCTTGATGGATGGAAGTCTTTTGTAGAGGTCAGCCATGTTTTATAGTCTAATTAAGGACAAGACAGGCACATGCTCAAACAGATGCGTTTTTTACTCCGAGAACCATTTGTAAAGCAACAAAGGATGATTAAATCGCTGACGCCTATCAGATGGCTTACTTTAGAATGGTAAGGTGATAGGAGCGGAAACAATGACGAAGATGTTTTAGCTGCATTAACACTGCTGTGGTTTTTGATCGTTAATGGTCTGCTTGAAATAAACTATTCAGCTGGTACATTTAATTTGTGTAAAATAGCATGTCATTAAATATAATGAAAAATGGATTATGCATTATTTAAATAATATAATGGTATTTTTGTGATTTGTGGACAGGTTTGACTGAATGGCTTTAGGCTTGCTGATTAAAATGGGCAGTGTCTTCTAATCAGTGGCGCACAGGTGGCGATTTTGCAGTAGTACCTGCGGCTTGAACATGTCAGCAGTGGATTTTGAAGCTTGGATGTACATGTCCTG